ATATATATATATATACGTTTAATAACAAATCATTATACGATACTTGTATATGTATAACTGAAATAATATAGGTAGATGATGTGTTGAAAGGGAATAGCAAAATGGGGAAAGAAGACATGAGCGTAGCCAATTAGTTAGTTAGCTCAGAAGGGTGCAATTTCGCAGCAAATAATAGGGTATTTGTTATGTGATTGGTTGGTGGTATTGTGCCAGGTGCTTTAAATCTCTTCACTAACAATAATTCTTGTTTGCATCGATCATCTTCATCATTATCATATTATTATTGTTATTCTTATTATTCTTTGTCTAATTATCTGTTTTTCATTTCCTTTAAAAACCCTCTTCATTCATCTATTTGTATTTGTTGTTTAATTTTTTTGCTATCCTTTTTTTATAAATGATCGATTGGTGGAGACGTTATTAGTGCTCTTACTACCGTAACGATGTTCTCCTCCACTCTATTTGTCACTTTCGGTGCTCTATTTTATGATGTCTCTCCAAATCATTGCTTAAATACCATGATTTCTGTGTGATATGTTCATGAGTGAGCACTGTGTTCGATAAGGCTTTACTGAAAAAGTATTGGTGAAGAACACCTCTTTTAATGTTGGCAAGTGATATAATTGTATATTCCAAGTGCATAGGTTTGAAAGAATTTATTAATTAACATCGAGCTACTGAGAATGGAATCTAGCGATCGTTTGAAGTAACATCCCTTGCCAGATCGTTGCCTTCTATAAGCTGTTATTCATTTAATTCATAAGGCATCATTTTCTATTCGACTGTAGTAGGATTCTGCGAAGAAATTTTGAATTGTTAATGTGATCCAGAGAATTTTCATTTAGAATAATTACGTATGCACTAAAAACTTGAATTTATCCATACATTTATACATATGGGGAAAAAAACTGGAACATAAATGGAAGAGTTTCACGAAAAGATAGAAATGAATATCAAAAATAGGTGAATCAAAATTGTTTAGAGCATCAGACGGATGAATGCGATGAAATGAAAATTTGATTGTTGATGAGAGAAAATTGAAAATGAATCAATGGTACGAAGCATGGCATCATAAAATGAATGGTTTTGAGGATTTTGCAATGCAAAATTCTATGAAGTTAGATTATAATTGAACGACATTTATCACTTATAATGACCCATAAATTATGGTTTCATTAATGAATGTGTGATTTTGAATTGCAGACAAAATGGTGTGTGAAATGGGATATAATGTGAACGAACTAGATGATGGTGTATAATTGAAATAACAGTCGGTTACATCAAATGGAACGATAAATACAAAAGCATTTAAAGACGTAACACGTAAGGTATGTGTCCTTAATGAGTCTACTATAGCTCTGTTTCGATAACGCAAAAATATATATAGCGGTAAACATTTTTGAAGTGTTTTATTCTCCTTCCAACAATAACAACTACTTACTGCGCAACAGTTTCCTCTTCAAAATAAATACCCGTCCAATCGCATCATATCCTGCCATCCCTAATAAAAACCATATGGTTTAATCTCTTCGATCCATTCGTCATCTCTTCATGTCCCCATCATTCCCAGTCCACTTCTTAGTCGTATTTCAGTTATTTAACACAAACTTCCTTCACAATTTACCTTCAGTTTCATCTTTTTTATTCACCTTGATGTTCAAGATGTTGATATTCACTAACTTCTTTTTTTAGTCACTTTGTTCACAAAATGTTCAAGTGAAATGTTCCATTTTTATGAGATGAATACCATTTGTTATTCGTCGATATGCATCGCAGCACATTTCAGCTTTCAATTCTCTCATTTAAACTCAACCTATGATAAAATTTTTTCCATATCCAGCATGATAATTGTTTAAAAAATGGCTAGTGCTTTCCTAATGATGTTAAAGAAGATGGTTGATCATTTAAGGTGATAACGGATGTATGAACGATTGCTCTCGTTATGTAAGCTTATCAAGAATTCATTTTCTCAGGAATTCTCTAAAGTTATGATGATAACAGTAGAAGAAATGATAATAAATATCACTTAGCAATAATAATAACAATACTGTTATGGTTCATCTTACGTTAAAATCATTAGCGCGTCTAATTCTAATTGATTCTTCGCTATGAACAGTTTGTCTACCAGTGCATTCTTTTTTGGAACAGCATAACGTTGGTTCATAATTGTAACTAATGCAGTTGTAAATGTATAGATGTATAATTTTATACATTATAGGTTTATTTATTTATATTCACATTCATATTTATTTCTTTAAATATTTGTATTGTTCGCTTGCGTTTAATAAGAATTTAGGTATTTATAGGTGTGAAAGATTACAATTAAGAGAATTTCAAAGAAACTAACTAAAGAGATTAAAATTTGAATGAATTAGAGTGAAAAAACAACACGAAGCGTCAAAGATATATCCTTAAAGTATACGGTAAGAAGAAGGCGTGTCTTGACAATAATAGAATTTGATGACGATCAATTTTTACACAGTACGCGTATTTATATTGTCTTCACATGCAGATAGCAAAAGAAGGCGGTGTTATCGAAAATGGGGCGTGTTTAGCAGGGTGAGTAATTTTTGATTTGATATTGAACGAATGAACTGGGTGTGGTTTATTGAACCGTAGAGTAGTTGTGCTTTATTGTAACTGTAAAAGAAAGTAAGCCATTGAAATAAGTCTTGTTTTATTGAATCGAACAAATGACGTTTCTATTATTTTGTTTACTTCATTAGATTTCAATTTTTGTGCTTTATAATGACAACATTCAAGCCTCAGTAACTCTCTATAGATCATCGACAGAGTCTGTCTAAAGGAATCCGTGAGAAACATCGAAATTGTTATCGGATAAAGTGAATGTTATGGTAACTATCTTCTTCCCCACATTAATCACATTGAACAAACTTTTTTCACCGTCCCAAATATGGTTAAAGAATACTTCGAAACGCTTCGTGATCTTTTCGGAGAGAACAAAACATTGGAGAATAATCTATTCCGATCCAACGATCTTCTACATCGTTTGCATCATTGACAACACCCGTTTTTTGAGGAATTTTCTCCACTTATTACGAATAGTTATTATTTTTATTGTTTTGATTATTATTGGTACTAATTATATTACTTTGGAATAACTGTATGCTAAAAATTGAACGTTTACTCAGCAGTTATCGAATTTCATTTACATTAATCAGGTAGATTAGTTGTTGTACTCATTATTGTTTTAATCACCACTGCTAGTTGTGCGTTATGATAACTGGAAATGTTCTCATAGCGAAATGTAATTCCTAAACATGCTTACTGTTGCAGGTAATCAATAGGAATAGATTTGGTTGCATATTCAAGTTGTATATGCGAAAAGATATTTCGAGCGATAGTATTTGTTCTTCATCAAAACCATCTACGTCACAAAAAATGGCAGTACAACTTCAGGTATAGCAGCAAACTTATTTCATCCGCTTATTTTAGATGATAATGAATAATTGGTCATTTCTTCACAAGCATCATTTCAGAGTTGCGATCAAAGCCCATTGGGTAAATTGGTGGAGCAATACAATCGACTGACATCAGAAGGACGTGTGTGTGATGATAAATCAACAACTAGCAGTAACAGTGCGTCGAGCACAATAACGACTAAAAAAGAGATCAGATCGAGTGAATACGTGGTGAACAGTGCTGCGACACTGATGGATGCTGCTGCAATGCCGTATGCAACACCAACCACTTACCCCACTTATCCGTGGACTACAGCCACCACTCCATGGTGGACTGAACCAACCTCCACTTGGCCACTCACATACGCCACACCTAACGTTGCGTCGGCTGGAACTACAGCTGGAGCTGATGCTTCAGTCATGGCAGCAGCAGCCGCATACAATCCCTATCTAGGACCGCAATTCCAGGGTCTGTTAACGGCAGCGAGTGTATCGTCGGGTCAGTCTGCTTGTGCAGCAGTCGCAGCTGCAGCATCACCAGTCAGTTCAACAACCAGTAGTGTTGTCGTCTGCAAACCCTCGACAGTCACCTCTTCTGTCACTGCAGCATTATCCAGTGTTCTTCCAAATGTAACAACGTCCACGAACGGTACGGTTCCGAGTGCTGGTGGTGGTAAATTCCCAACGACACGTTCAAACTGCGAGTGTCCAAATTGCCAGGAGATCGAACGCGTTGGTATGTTAACTGAAACTTTTTTGGAATGCTTTTTTATTTCATGACATTGAAGTTAAAGTAAAGTACTCATTTTTGTTTTATCAACTTCTAATGTGATATAAAATACTGCTGCTAGGTGATAATGTTAATGAGTGATGAGTGGAAGTGTGATAATAAGTGTTTTATTATAGAAGTTATTATTGCGTAAACAGTTATCTCATTTTATGCAGAGTAATGTAGAAAGATCGTTACATACAGCATAATATCTATTCATTTCATGTCAAGGACGCATAACAGTTGTGCATGTGATGAATAAAAAAAGAAACAGAAAGGCGTTTGACACCTTTCTCACGCCATTGATCATTCTCCGTATTTGTTTCGATTTCGGTTTTATCACAAAGAGAATGTTGTTTTACTAGTTGTAGCTTGAACTTCAGAGACTATCACACAACAAAACACTTTTTCAAATGACATTATGAAAGTGACGAAATACCCTTTTCCGATAGTTGTTCAGCCGAGTTGAATGTCATCCTTGATGAACTGAGTAATGATAACAATTTCTAAACATGTAATACATTCTAATACTTCAATGCATAATAGTTTTATTTCAGAATTTTCCTCGTTCTGTTAATTACCTGAATTGTTTGAACGCAATTATGTCATATAACAAAACAGTTGCATCGCATTAATCCAGTAGCATCAAATTTCTTTTCCTATTATCAAAATTATGCTCTTTCTTCTAACATAATCTTTCCATACCATAGAGTAATATTTTGATAGCGCCTTATAGCGGAATGGGTTTGTGTATCTGTTTCATTAGTATTTAAAAGAATGAGATTAATTTTGCCAGTTAACCTTACAATCGTTAACAATTGATTAGAAGGAACAAAACAACTAACGTCAGTAGTTGACTACTGAATTGGTGTTGTTTACGTGAGTGCCAAAACATGATTCACGTCGAAAATATTACCGTTGATTTTCTCTCAGAGCTTCTTTGTGAAACTTTGGCTAAAGATTATTTCGTTCGAGAAAACTGGTTCGAAACAAAAATGCTTTCCGAGTTACTCGTGCGAGAAGAGTTGATTAGTGAATTGGATCAGTCACAGCTAAAGATTCATGAAAATATTTGTGTTATTGAAAAATGGCATTCAGATGTGGGATGTGATAGAATAGAGTATGGATTTGATTGCTTTTTAACCCCAAACAAGAATGATTAGTCAAACGAAATGTGATGCAAAAATTGGTTGTCGTTACTTCCATGTTGATTGTATTTGTGTGTTGATATGAGAGATGCATTATGTGATTGCGGTTGATTGCACATTTCAGACATAAAGTAAGATATGTAGACTTTTCTGCTGTACATCTGCTGAGTATAGTAGATAAGTTAAGATTCAGGAATGAAAGAGAAATGAATTTATCAATGAGACTGAATTTTGTGAGTCAAGCGAGATGTTCATTGATTCAATCCTTCATATACCACGCCATAGGTACTTTCTTCAAGTAATGATGAGGTAATATCGGTGCAGTTTTCAGAAACAAAATCAAACAGTAAATTTTTAATTCTGTGCAAAACGATCGGTTTCAAGCCAGTAAAATAGAATTGTTGTAAAATAAGCTACTAGCATCATTATCATTGCTGTTACGAAAATTGCTAGCAAAGATATTGCTCTTTATACGATCAGCTTCATTATGTCTGAATCATTTTTGATATATGCGCTATAATTTCAATAACTTCTAAACGCCCATTCAGTACTGCTGCGTTTCATTGACTACCGTAATCAGAAAACGCATTAAGCGCCCGTCTATGCATCATATGCATACTTTTTTAGTGCGTGCAATGATGAAGTGTTGATGCATGGCAGCAGTTTGTAAGAGGAGTGCAAAAGATTTACGAGAATAAGATGATTGCATAATTATATATTGAAAAAGTGTTTCGATCGTAGGTAGAGAGTAGGTTAAGGCTTTTTAACCTGATATTGTCTGCAGTAAATTGTAGGAGAAAGAATACAAAAACGATATTGTATCATTTGAAGAGAATGCAGCTGTTCTTGGTTTAAAAAATTATAATCAGAAAAAAATCGATAGTATGAATAAATCCATGAACACTGTCATTTCTTTTCGAATTCAAGATGGATATTCGATGAGAAGCAATCGATGAAATTAGATTTTAAGTGGTATGAAAGCGCATGAATTGATTGATGATGCATAGATGGCCATGAGAATGTGTGATGATAAATGAGAGACTGAAAAAAGAAATGTGTTATTTTCAGTGAAAAAACTGCGATTGTTGTTGTGTTTTTTTCTTTTGGTTGATAAAATTGATTGATTGAATGAAAAATAATTAACACTTTCATTCTTTGTTTGATTTTACTCGTTTCCTCCTCATCATCATCCTCATCACGAAAATTACCAATCAAATTTCATAATTTTTAGTCGTTTCTATCATTTAATGTGCTACGCACACACACACACACACACACACACACACACACCATTGAGACAATGACGCATCTATCTAAATGCTTACGCAGTTCGATGGATGTATTTAAAAGATCGTTTCAAAAGCCACAATTGGAAATGAAAATCACAATCGTCATTATCTTATTTCATAATCGTATTTCACTGCACATATCTATTATACGTTATGAGTGTTTCGCTTTCATTTCTACTTCATTTTGTTTGGTCCTATTTTATTCATTTCTTCCAGTCGTTCAATTTTTGAACATGCACATATTCCCGGTAGCTGTAGTTCGATGATGACCCTGATGTTGCTTATGGCAATGGTCACGTCGCATATTTTCAGATAATGTTGATGATGATAAGAAAAAGAGGGCAGTTCCAGTAAAGATCAGATTATTTAACAATGGTGACAGAATTCCTCTCTATTTAAACGATTGAATTATAGATTTATGCAGCCTTCAAAGCTGCATTTAAATTCGGCTTCATCGTTTCCTTTTCGCATTACAGCTTATAGTTAACTGGATAAGTTTAGGTAAATGAAACGAGAAAGAAAGAATTATATTTGTTTCGGTGAGCGTCTACAATGCCAACAGTAATGGTAGTAATAAGAACAGTTGGAGTATCATCTAGTAATTATGATATATTAGGTGCTATTGATTCTGTCATAATCTATTCTTATATTATGCAAGTGAGCGTGAGAGTCATTCAAGGTCATACTCAATCTGTTTCATTTAAATGTATCTGCTTTTGTCATCTTGAAATTTTGATGTTTAGTCAAGTTGTCAGATTTGATTTCTTGTAGTAATGTACTGATAAGCATCTCCAAAAATGATTGGAAACTATGGAAGAAGCAAATTAAATTAATTATAACTAATTATTCGCTATAATTAAAAAGATTATTTCTATTACTCTGCCGAATTTCGCGAATCTGATCGAATAAAGATATTTTTCATATATTCTAATGCATCATCTCCTTCTCTTTAATGTATCCCCATCTAAAAAAAAACAAAATTTCGCCAACTCAAATACTAAATTTGTGGGTAATCATGCGATTTCACGCCAAAAATAAACTGAAAACATTTCTCCAAAATGATTTGGACGAGCCCCAGCTCCGGTTAAGTTTTTCTGTAGCTTTATTTTTTACATTCTTATAACATATTCAGCCTGCTCTTGTCCCTCTCCCAGATCTTGGGGAATCTCGGTATCGCTCTCCTTTAATAGGTCTCCCCACCTCAGTTAGATTCCTCGCTCTCAAAACTTTTGAAGATATATCTACATGGACTCGCATTTAAATAGGAGGGCGAGGAGGGCTTATATTCATGAAAATCTGAAAATATATTTAAGCATAAAGTTTTCAGGTGTAGCGAATGTAGCAGCTAAGAAGCGAGGTATACACAACTGTCATGTACCTGGATGCGGCAAGCTGTACAGTAAGAGCTCACATCTTAAGGCACATCTTCGATGGCACTCTGGCGAAAGACCATTTGTAGGTATTTCTAAAATATGTACTACCGCTAAGCCTTCTTCAAACTCATCAATCCACCTATCAGAATGGATAAAAGTTGACGCAACTGTCTATTATTGACTGTTCAAATAGGTTTTTGAAATAACTCGACTAGAGTGGGTGATATTGCTAAATAGCTTTTGAAGAATGGTAGTGATAACAGCTATGTAGCATCAATCATTATGATTCTTATGAATGAATAACTGATCAGTTTTCATCAAGTTGTTTCGTTTTCAGAAACGAAGGGCCACAGAGACGGCTACAACATCGCAGTCTGGTGAAAATACATCGTGAACGGAACGAATGCCCTTCTAAGGTGCAAACAATACAGCAAAAACCTAACATCCTATGAATTTTATCATGCGATGATAGGTTTTAGATAGCACTCAATTCGTGCCAACCGCAATTTTTCATAATTATCATTTTTTCGTTTTTTTTGTTGATATATCCTTCGGTTATTCATTCATTCATTGATACAAATCTGAATTTCAAAGAATGGCTTTTGGAAGGAAGAACATGTACTTGAATCCATCATTGTCTCTTCCAAATAAGCTTATCAGGATACTCGCGAAAATAAATCGTTCTTTGTTTTGGAATCGATATTCACTGAATCTTCGAATATAGAAATCGAAATGTGATAAATTTTGCAAACTATTATAGACTGTAACACGTTAATGGATTAAGCCATGAGGGTCCCGACATTTTAGAGACTTGTTGAATTCATACACTGTAATTTCCTGTTTTTGTTTTTGTTGATGTCGTGTTGTTGTTGTATTGTTTCATGCTGATTATATGTATTTATATCGATTCAGTTACGTTCATTTGTTTTAAAAGTGCGAACCGGAAATGTTACTATCGAAAAGATAATTGTTCAACAGTCTCCGATTGGATGCTTCGTTTCTATAGAAACCATTCTTATAATCAATGAATTAAACGAAAAACTGATCAAATTGGTACGACTTATCCGATAGTGAGATGATACGATGGGTGCATTCATTTCTCGTCAACGTTGAGAAATTGAGGGACAAAAGATTTGAAACTTTCTTGTACATATTACTAGTTGTATCACCCAAAAAAGATTTCCTGTCGACAAGCATTGCTAAGTGATAAACATCCACATTGCAAACATAATTGTATGGCTCATAAACAACAAAGATTCAGGAACGTTTATGAACAGTGCTTCATATATAAGCAACATATATATTTGTGGAAGTGCGAACATCACAATATAATTGCAACTATCAACTTTATCTATCAAATGCATTTCGTTTTGTTCATGAACATATCAGAACTTCAGTAATTTGTACGTCTGATAAGAGAGCCAATTGCAGTCGTTATTTTCGAGTGAACTGCTGAACAAGATTTGTTCATGATTGAATGAAGTGCTAACTCCTTAATATTGTGTGGATTACATGCTTCTCAATAAAAATTTCTCCTGTTCGTATGTTTGAGTTGGTAAAACATGTTCTTTCTTTGATATGCGAATCTTCCGCTCGTATCATGCAAGGGGGACCCGGGAGGACTATTTTCCCTGGAATTCCAAGAATTGCGAAGAACCGTGGGGTGGACTAAAGAATTGGTTAGCAATTCTTTAAAATTGTTATTATTTAAATCAGTTTTTTTTCCTTTTCAGTAACAAGTGTAACACACCGCCTGCGGCATTAACATCATCTTCAGGAATAATTTACTATATATCTGCATCCGACTTCGCTACGTTACTATCACAAATACAGTTCAGTTCCATTGTTAGCGGCGATATAGTCTCAATATGTGTTTTTTTTTTAACATTTCGATTGATAATTGATTGATTCATTCTTTTAATATTTGTGATCAGTACCTATCAATTATGTCTCCGTCTTCAGTTGATTATCTATGTAACTTATAATGTATGACTCACACATAAATGATTATTTCTCTTTTTTTCCTCTTATACACTTGATGTTCAGATGTTTACAATGATCATTTCTTAACTGATAATTTACTCTTTCTTCTAAATCTTCTGAAGTACTTATGCCCACAATTGGGCTTTGCGTTGAGTTTAAATCACAAAATAGGATCTTCATAAATTTGATATAGATTGTGATGAAAATATACAGTTCTCCTGATGAGGCTGATAGAAAATAAAATCGATTTCAGTGACGGGTTCGGAACAAGTGATTAGATATTGGCTTTGAATGACTGCTACACTTCGTCTGAATCTAGCATTTAAGGTAACGTGCCATCGGTCTTCAGCAGCAACTTGACAGCATATTTTCGATGAAAGTAATGTGTTTATGATGTGAAACGAAAGTAAAAACTGTTGTAGCTGGACTGTTCATCGATAATACAAAATTTGTTGGAAAATATAAGTTTCAAATGTGAAGCAAAGGATTTCGTGAAAATTTTAACTTCACGCAAAGACTGTATTATTGACTGTTGCATTATTTTCACAACGTAACGTCACCGCATTTAATAAGTCAAAATTTTTCGAATTGCACAACTTATTATCATAGTGCATAAGAATGAAACTGCCGGCGAATTTTCCCAAAGCTCCGTCGTTTTTATCCAAATCAGCTCTCTTGCCGCTGCTCCAATGAGATCGGTAAACTTAACTGAAAATTAATGACCTTTAGTTCCGAACATCTCGGCTCACACGAGGTTTGGTTCCGATATTCATTCGAACGAAATTAATCTTATCAAAAACGATCATGGTTCTCTAGTGCAACCATCTGAGAATTCTTGCGCCTTTGATACACCGTTACCATTTTCATATCCACCTTCTGACATGATTCTAACAATTTTATGATGAAGAAATTGAAGATATGTGGAAGGGTTCCGATAGCAAAATAAGTATGAAGTATGCCATTTGTACCCAAACTGTAAACATCGACTGCAGCTAAAGTGACAGTAAAGGTAATCCAAGGATCAAGGAGATAGCGTAGATGTATGCATACAGTCGCTGAACCGCTAAATGTTATTGGATCATTTTTATCACCGCTAAATCAACTATTAGAGTTAGGTTTTTGAAGGAGAAGAAAAAATATTCAAGTCAGAATAATGGCAGTAATTCTAATAGTGACAAAAATAGCAATAAAATTAATAGAAGCCGTAACGGAAGCGGCATTTTCATGAAGACAAATGGTCTGCTGTGCCAATATCGTTAGCTGAATGGAAAAGAGGATGGCAAAGACGGAAGAATGTGATATTTGTGATTTCCAGCAAAAGGTCTGGGATGCGAAAGAGCAGTAGGATATCACTTCCTTATGGATATTGTGCATGTTTCCAGTCTCACTGCACATATAGGTTGAGTCTTGCTTCAGGATTTCTTCTATCACTTGAAGATATTCTGACTGACAATGAGTATAATATCGGAGTTGTGTACCTTTTGTAACCGGTTCCAAGCTGACAATAGTCATTAGGGGCAATTCCAACATAAACGTCACTTTACACAGTATCAGAATCCATAAACCCAACTACTAGCTTTCACTTGAAAAATGCAGTAGCTTAGAACGTATCAGTTGCTTATGCTTCTTACATTTCATTGTAACAGATCTTCACTTCTTGTGCATTCATGAAACATCATTGGTGGATTAGGTTAACCTTTGTTTCGACTAAGAGTAGAACTTCTACAGCGATTCACGCAGTCTAGCCTATGAAAATAGGCAAGTATCTGGCACACAATTTGTGCGATTCATAGGAAACGCACAACAAAGCAATACTTTGAATGGGATGTGGAGTTACAAACTGTCACTGAGATATAGCTGAATAAAAATAAAGTGAAAAATGCTGAAAAACAATTGACCTGAATAGATTAATACCATGAACGATTCAAAATAGTTGGTTTTAAGAAGAATTCTGATAGAAAAAATCCCTTGCGACCGGGATATGAATCTTTGAATGCACAAAGTTGTATGGGATGAAAATGATAATCGATAGCTGCACACGCGTGCAGTTGAAAGAGAGAACACTCCATGGCTAACGCGCAATCGAAAGATAAATAGAGGGGGCAATAATATCTTGAGCATTAAAGCATCGTGAACTGGATATGGTTGATATTTCATAAAAGAAGAGAACTCGAAAGCTGATGAAGGCGAGTATTTAATTGGTTATTGGGTAGTGATTTTGGTTTCTATCCGAAAAATTGGCTTCCATTTTCAAGTGATTTCCTGGGATGTGAATTCTCCGAAAAGCCTTAGTTCATTGAAAATTACAAGTGGAATGGCTAAGCGGAATGGTTATTTTACTTAGCGTATCTCACCGATGAATGTCACATACTGCATCTGTTAGAAAATTGAAATCTCCATCTGCATTGGCTTTCAGTTTAAAAGTCTTCCAAAATTTGCCTAGAAAGTGAACTTTCGGACAAAAGCGTTAGGAGTAGGCCCCGGGACCGAGTAGCGACGGTTTGCTTATAATTCTTACATATCCGAAAGGCCTTTACATGAAGTTTCATCCGGATGGCATTCTTTCGCTCCGCATTAGTTAGGGAAGGAAGAAGTGATTCCGAAAGTCTTGAACTTCTTCAACCAACGTTCTCACACTTCAACAAAAAAGAAAACCGTCGGGGCAGAAAATAAGAGGGCGTCGCAGACCTCAAGAGAACCAGCCGTAACAATCGATCAATTATAGGTCATACCCAAATAATTGTAAATGTACATGATGTACACAATTCCAATTCCAACCGTGCATAAAACGCCGAGTGTATGGGATTTTTCCGTAAGCAACTGATACTTTTGTTTGTTCTGTCATCTGTAATAGCCTTGTGGATGTCGCATAAATAATTTCAGCATCATACATAATATTGCAAAGTTTTGATACTTGATTTTATTGTAATAATATGATATATAACCTTGCCTTAGTACGTGACCAGCGAACAGTGCTACATTCAACATGAACAACCTTCTGATTTGCCACAGTAACTGGTTTTCCAAGAGCAAACTAAGAAATGTGCGTTTTTTCGTGAGTAAATCGAGTGATAAAATTGAAAAAAAAAACCAAAAATGAATGGACTGAAGTTGAAAAATGAGAGTGAAAAATTGTGTGAGTTTGAGTGCCGACTGGTCATCAAATTTTTGGTATTGGAAGGGATTTAAATGCGTGCGATCTATGAACGACCAGTCAACAACGTTCTGAATTCCTCTGTCAGGTAACGACAGCGAGCACAATAAAGAAAACCATTAAAAACTGTGTGATTCGGCGCAAACGGCATAAGTCTTAAAATTTCTTGACTGACCAAATATGACAACATTTCTGACGGTCACGGAAAGAAACACCCTTTCAAACAATTAACAGCTCTCGTACCATCTTTGGTACCA